CAACCAACCACCAAACCAACCAACCGACCTACTAACCAACCATGCTGTTGGCCATCCGACCAGCCAACCAACTATGATCATCGAACTAATCAACCAGCCAACTAACGACCAGCGAAGCAGCTGACAAACAAAACAAAAAAATAGTCTCGTAAAGGCAAACACTCTTAACCTCAAAAACGAGAAAGAATAACATACTTACGTGGAGTACCAAATGAGCCAGTCAAGAAAACTGGATCTTGACAAGATACGTTGCTTGGATGCGCCTTGATAATAATTGTCGGGTCATATTTACCTGCACGATATGAAAGAATGCAAAATGAAAACAGGAAGGAAAACAATTGCAGAGCGTTTTCAGTAGTAAATGCTCATTCGGATTTTTATGGCTTAAGTGTCTTCATCTTGAATGGTTCATATCGTCATACTTTCATATTCATGTAGACTTACTTAGGCAGCTGACAAGCGATTGGTTTTTGATGTGAGGGGACTCGATTGGATTTGGCAGAGGAAACGATCCAGTCACGTGTTCGCCGTTCAGGACAAGTATCCATGACAACGCAATAGCGTACCTCAAGACACGAAAGGTTAACGGATAGTTAATAGAGGGGACCCCTCTATCAAATATGGTTGACGTCATCCCTGGAAGAAAAAAATCGAACCAGAAACCATAAGGGAGTTGAAACGTGCAATGACACAATAACCATGCTTTGAAATATTGGAATATTCAAGTTTGCTGCCCCTGAATTGTGGAATTCTCTTCCTCCAAGTTTAAGAGCTTGCACTTCTATCTCAATTTTTAAAAGGGAAGTAAAAACCTGGCTTTTTAAACAAGCTTTTCTTAATTAATTCAAATCTTATATTTTTAATAAAGTTTATCAATTTAAATCAGTTTATATTTGCAGTTTGAATGCTTACAATATGTTGTGAAATGTTTAATATTATTGTTGAGTATGTTTATATCAGTGTTTCAAAAAAATAGATAAATAATTTGCTTTTTTATTTATTTATTTTTCATTTATTTTTTTAATGTTTTTAAAATCATGTTTTTTCAGAATATTTATGTATTGTCATATCTCATAACATTAGGATAGCGTTAAATTTTAAAACATCTTTGAGTCTCTAAAAATGTTTGTAAAGCGCTGTTGAACTAAAGGAATTAGCGCTGTATAAAATATTATTTATTATTATTATTATTTATTATTATTA